CGAATAGAAGGATCATTAATCGTGTATTTTTTATTTCAGTTGGATTACAACAAGAATTGATTTTAAGCCATATTTCTTTGCTTTAGTCATGGATGTTTTTACTTGACATTTACAGGAGGATATACCTTAGTGTATGCTTTTCACTGTTGATACCCTTCTTGTGGATAAAGCTAGAGAAAGAGTTTAGGAAAAACTTGAATGATGGAGGTTAACTTTAGAGTATAAAGGCTTTTGTTTGAGTAGCTCTAGAACTTAATACATGGAATGTAATTTTAGTTGTAGTAGATCTAGTGGCGGGATTGTAACAATGGGTGATCAATTCATTAAAAGGAGTGAACGTTTTAGATATCCCAGATTAATTGTTGAAAGTGATTGAGGATATAAATGGGGATGTTATTAGTAGAATTCAAGTTGGATGATTGAAGTGGAGGAATGCATCACGTTGATTGTGTGATAAAAAAGTACTTCTTAGACTTAGAAGGAAAATTTTATAAGATGGTGGTGAGACCTGCAATGCTTTATGTTGCAAAATGTCAGCCTATAAATGAGAAGCATAAAACTAAGTGTTGTTGATATGAGAATATGCTTAGGTGGATGAGTGGCTTTTCACTTAGAGACAAAATGAGAAACAAATATATTCGTTAAAGGGTTGGTGTAGCTCCAATGACAGACAAGATTAGAGAGAGTCGTCTTAGATGTTCTGGTCACATTAAACGTCGACCATCTGATGACTCTGTTAGGAGAGCAGATGTTTTAGATTTGACTTATATTAGGAAAGGTAGAGGTAAACCTAAAAAGACTTGGGCATGTTGTATAAAAGATGAACTTAATCTATTAGATTAAATGAAAATGACTCAATAGGACACAACGGAGAAAAAACATTCCTGTGGCCAACCCCACTCAGTGGGATAAAGGCTTGTTGTTGTTGTTTGTTGTGGGACAATTACATTCATAGCACACAACTCTTATGTATTTACATATCTAACACCTAAAGTTTTGAGAGCAGGTTTGTTCGTCATGGGGATTACTGAGTTCATCATCACACATTTTCTCTTCCGTCTTTGCCAGCTTCAACTTGATTAGGCCTTGGAAAATATCTAATACTAGCCCTTTTTCAAGCATCAGTTTATTTTTTTTGCCATCTCATGGCTACTCCTGTCCATGTTCTGTGTCCATTTTCTGCCATACTTCCACTAGAATATTGTAGTATTCAATTATGGTACTGTTACCCTGATTTATTTTTAGGGAAAATTATGTACAAGTGTTAATGCATTTACATATCTAACAACTTAAATTTCATATTGACAAGCATAACACTCAAATCTTTAACATCACATCAGAAATACTACTTCTCCTAACTTTTTAAAAGTGAAATAATTTTTTTGATGCATTAATTTATGACACTAAAATATTATAAATATAAATATGAATGTTCAGATGTTAGATGAGTGATGCATAAGAATTGTGTGTTAATTTGGGGAAATTATATACAGACCACACAACTCTTATGTATTTACATACCTAACACCTAATGTTTCATATTTACACGCAAAGCAACAAATCTTTAAAACCACATAAAAAAAATATTATTATTGCTAACTTTTAAAAATGCGGATGAAATGGTGGTCTGGTGGTTGGACATTTACTCCCGCATTGAAAGGTCCCATCTTCAAAGTCCACAGTCCAAAAAAAAAAAAAAAAAAAAGAAATTTTTAAAAGTGAAATACTCCTTTTCATGGCGCGGGGTGTGAAGCTGAAACTCTTGCGACTGAAGTGTGATGCAGCTCCCATGACGAAGCGGTTTCTGCTTTCATGCATGGACTGAACCGGTCTAGTTTTTTTGGTTGTTGTAGCCGATCCTTTTGGATCATTTCTAGTTATTCTCTCATTATATATTTGCTTTTCTGATGTTTTAGGGTTAGTTTTTTTTGTGTATATGTTCGGACAGCCACCAACATCCTTTTCCTCTCGTTTAGAGCTGCATCTTACGGTCAAGTAGTACTCCGGTTGTACCTCATTTCAGAGTGGTTTTTATCCTAGACTTCCCCTTCCACCGCAACCTTCCTTCTGTTGACATTGTTTCCGTACCTGCTGTAGGCACCAGGAAACAATCCTTCTTCGCTATTTTCTGTAGTTTCCACCTTTCAACCCTTTCTTCTTCTTCTGAAATTGCTTCCTGCTGCTCCACGTTATTCTTCCCTCTTGCAGCTGCATCCAAATCAATTGTCCTTACTGTTTTCCTGCATTTTCCCCTTTCCCCTGTTTCCATCCATTTATATTATTTTCCATGCTGTCTAACCACCCTGCATAGCCTCCGTCGCCGCCCAAATTCCACTCTGTTTTTTTATCGCTGTCTGACCATCCGACATTGCTGTCGCTGCCCCAATACATTTACCTGTTGCTGTTTTCTGCTGTCTGAGGCCTTCACCTTGGCTGCGGCCACCTGAACGTCACCCCACCTATTGTTTCTCCCCTATCCAGCCCACTTACCACTTTACTGCCACCTTTCCAATTCCTAGCAATCACCACCACCTCTCTAAATTTGCCCTGGTTGCGTGTCGTGTCGTGTTTGTTGTTATTTCCCATTTCCATGTTGGTTGTAACAACCTAATGGGCTTCTTAAATAATTATATTTACTTTCCTATTATTGTTTGGATTAACTCTGATATCATTTGGTATCAAAGCTAGCAACTCTAGTCCCATTATAGGGTCATCTAAATCTCTTCTACCTAACCCAAAATTTTTTTTTCCACCCTACGTCACACCCATAAAACACATCTCACCTGCTCGTGCCTAAACCCTAGCAATACCACCGAAGAGATAATAGAACCTGATTGAAAGAAAATGACACGATGCCACTTATGAGAAATCCACAAATAGGTGTACAAGAGATTTCTAGGGAGGATATGCAATGAGAAATGCTCCAACTGTAATAGAAGCTCACAACCTTCAAGAGTAGACCATTCATAGTGGTCACACAAACTCCATTCGATTCTAGAGAAGAACTACTACTTCGAAGATTTGGCATGAAATATTGGAGAAATCATGATTTTGAAACAAAAATAGATTTGTCATATTTTGATGACTACATGGATCCATTGAGTTAATCGAGTGCCTTTGGACTCACAAATGTCTCTTTGAGTACCAGGACGTCCCATTGGACAAAATGGTGAAAAAACTATGCACCGACAAGTTAATGAAGAGTGTATCTTAGTAGTGGGTGAATTTGAAGATTCTTTGACATTGAGAAGGGAAGAGTAAATTACTACGTGATCTACATATAAAACAACAGATGCATCACCAACATCTACTAGTTCTTTATAGAAAGGATGTTTTGTTCTTGGCTTCAAAAGTGGAGACAGTTTCATTGGATAACTGCCACATTTTACAAGTAGAGTTTCACCCTAGGATCAAGTAGTAAGAGTAGAACAAACAAAACTTCCAAGCTGACCCACCTGAAGAGATACTAGTTCAGAATGGAGAAAATATGGAACCAATCTGCATTCCCAAAGTCGTCTCAGCCAGGAAGTGTTTCAAGTGCCAAAGCTTTGGACATATTGAGTTTGATTGCCCAACCAAGAGAATATTCTCTTTCACAGGTCATGGAGCAATTGAAGAAGTGGGCAATGACACTATAAATATTGAAGAAAGTGAGGACACAAATGAGTACTAGATTCAAACTAATGATGGTTAAAAGCACGTAGTTCAAGTTGAGCCCATGAGAGTGACTCCAACATAATTAACATTGGTGGTCCAAGATGGCCCTAAGTTCGAGGAACCAACACTAGACACATGACAATCCTATAAAAGAAAATTTTAGACTTTTCAAATATATAGTCTACTTCCTGAGTTGCCCCTACTGAGGGAGGTCCGACATGTCAGAGATGAGACTCTTTTGCGCCAGTCCTTGAAGACTATATAGTCATTTGTGTATTAAAATCAGTTCAGTAGTGTACTCATCGACATTTGATTAGACAAGATGGAAAAACCACAACGTTAGAATTTTCCTTAGGATCTTTGGGTGAAAGAGAATATAATAAGATCCATGTTTTTTTCTGTGAAGAAGAAGAGACATCTCTTGAGTGAAAGAACATCATTAATAAGTTGTACCAGCTGCAGGCGCTCGTAAATAGCCTCCTTGGCTGTTTTTCTGCTGCTTCCTCCTTCAACCCTTTCATCTTCTTCCCAAATCGCTCCCCTGCAGCTCCACGTCATCCTTCCCTGCTTCAGCTGCTCCCACAACAGTTGTACTAGCTGTTTTTCTTGCATTTTCCCCCTTCCTAGCGGCTCTTTCCATTCCTTTACCGCTTTCCCTGCTGGCCGGCCATCCCTCCTCACTGCTACTGCTCCAAAGCCTACTTGCTTTGCTGTTTTATCACTGTTTGACTGTCCGACATTGCTGCTGCTGCCCCAAAACATTAACCGGTTGCTATTTTCTGCTCTCACGCCTTCCCGCCGTTGGCTGCTGTGGCCCGAACATCCCCCCATCCGCTGTTTCTCCACTGTCTAGCCCACCTACCACCTTGCCGCCAGCTTTCCAAGTCCCTAGTAGTTACCACTACCTTCCTAGATCCGCCTTAATCGCACGAAGTGTGTTTTGTTTGTTGTTATTTTTCATTTTCTTGTGTTAGTTGTAAGAGTTTAATGAGCTTTTTCAGAATAATATTTATTTTCCTATTATTATTTAGATTAACTTCGATGTCATTTTATTTATGACATTGAAGTATTATAAATATTAATATGAACTTTTAAATGCTAGATATGTAAATGGTAAAGAATTGTGGAAATCGCATACATACCACATAATTATAGTAAAAGTGATATAAGTCATCAGGATGACAAGCCCAAATAATCTCGAGTTACAAGACATGCTCTAAAATAGAAGACATTTTATTTTACCGATTTGCTACTTCTTATTTCTGTTTAAATATCTTCTGACTTCGAGCATTTATCATAAAATTCTGAATGTATTGTGATATATATATATTATAACGTTCCAGGTGCGGTTGATTGATACTTTCACAAATAAGAGTGGAATGATTAGTCACTGCTACAGAATTGCATACAGGTCCATGGAACGTTCACTAACAGATGAGGAGATAAATCAGCTCCAGGCAAGTAGATCTTTTTCGGAAAATGAACTTTTAGATGCTTTGGTTTTAGGAAGATTTCATCTAACCACTCAATTCCTATGTATTTACATATCTAATACCTCAGTTTTAATTTTTACATACATCCCACCTAGCTTTGCATGAAATGATGTATTTCACTTTTTTTTAAATTATAGTAGTCAGATGTGATAAAAAAGATTTGTGTGGGAGAAAATGTAAAAAGCAAGTTTAGGCCTTGGATATGCAAATAAACTATCAAAATGACTCGTTGTTCGTTAACAACTCGTGTTCGGCTCGTTAAGTAGTTTATGTTCGATTCGTTTGCTAAGCAAATAAGCCGAACATGAACAATTTTTTTTTACGCTCGATACATAGACAAGTTGAACAGTACAAGGCTGTAAAGATTTATAATCAATTAAAATTAGTTATTAAAAATAGAATAAAAATGTATTAAATTCTATTTAAATGAATATTTATTTTAATAATGAATATTTTAATATAAATAATAAGATTTAAATCTCCTCATACCCTTAACATTCTACGGCTGTCTGATTAGAGTTGTTAAAATGGGTGAACCGCTTATGTTCACTTTGATAAGCAAAAGAGACAAACAAGAACAAATTTTCTTAGCTCAATATATGAATGGACCGAACACGAACAATGGTATTTTCCAAATAGGCCGAGCATGAGCTCGCTCAAGCTCAGCTTGTTTACACCCCTAACGGTTGCATGCGTGATTATAGTTGTTAAAATAATTCTTTGTTCCTGAATAGCTTGTGTTTGGTTCGCTTACAAACAAGTCGAAGATGAACAAATTTTTTGTGTTCGAAATATAAACTAGCCGAACACAAATAATATTATTTTTTAACGAGCCGAATAAGAGCTAAGCCCATGCTCGCTCCTGCTCGTCTTGTTTACACCCTAGTAAATGCCTCTTAATTTTAGTAATTTCCCATTCTCTATGCGATGCAGGGAAGCGTTAGAGATGCCGTTCAAAGCAAGTTGAAAGTCATTCTCAGATAAATGCTTCTAATTCTATTAGAGCTGTATTTTCTTTTCATCTTTTTTTTTCTTTTTTCTTTCATGAAATTTTAATCATGGCCAGTTATTTACATGTATGTCACAATTTATATGTATTTATATGTCCATCACATTAAATGTTAATATTATATAATGTTTTATGTTGTCAGTAAAATAAAGATAAAAAAAAGAGAAATAAATAAATCGCAACGGAGCCCGAACCGACTCTCATCCTGGAAAAATTATTTCATACGGACACCACATTCAGAAATGCATGCGGTGTCTGATCTACACTATTGATCACAAGATTTTTTTAAAAAATATATATATAATGGGGCCCACCGAAATATATCTTAGTTGTGATCAACGGTGGAGATCGAACACTGCATGCATGCATAAATGCATGTGGCGTTCATATGGAATAATTTTTTCTCACCCCGAGCTACAACTACTCAATTTTTTTATTTCCTAAATTACTATTTGTATTTTATAGTTAATATCGTAAAAGTAAAATCGGGAAAAAAAAAAAAGAGATTTGTGCTGTAATCAGTCATTATTGTTTCCACAATATCTCATCATCGTCAATGTCGCTGCTTCGTGCAAAAATGTATAATAAAATGGGAATGAGAAGGTAATTTTCAAAATATTTATGCTAGAAAGTTCAAGTACATGTTCTTTGAAATTAAGTACCGTTCAAGAAAATTGCAGACTTATTTGAAAAATTTATGTACAAATCAAGAGATTTAAGTAACCTTCCTGGAAAATGAGAGTACCTGCCCAGAGTATTAAGTACCTTTTAAGAAAAGTAACGTACAAATGTAGGGAAGTTTGTGCTCGTTATTGTTCGACTTCAAGTACTTTGAAGGCTTATATTGTCCTTTAAGACCGTGAGTTGAAATGTATATTTTTCCAGCATGACTGCAGTGAGTATTTTAAGATAATTAGAAAGGCTGTCATTCTCTCCAAGTGGTTTGGACTTTCAAATAACTAAGGTTTTTGGACCCTTGGAATTTATAAAGTAATTTAAATGTGAATCATTTGAGCTTAAAAATAATCTTAATTTGAACTTTAAAATTTAATCCGCTTGAAAATTGATTCAAATGTGAACTTTTAAATTTGTAAAAGAAATTTAAATTGAATCATCTGGATTTATAAAGTAATTTTATGGCTCATGAAGAATCTCTAGATGTGAATTACTCTGCTTAGCAAAAAATAAATTGAAAGGAGAGTCCTTTAATAAGATTATTTATTTTTATTAAGGAGAACTAAAGGTGATTGAAGCTTACACAATCATTTTTATTGAGAACTAAAGGTGATTGAAGCTTACACAATCATTTATAAAAGAAATTCAAAGCTTGTGAATTGTTTATGAATTTAACAAACTCTAGATATCATCATGAGCTTAGAATTTCAAACTTGCCCCCAGATTTGCGAATATAATTTGCAAGCAGACAGAAGACAATTTTCTTTTAAAGCCCAAAAATATAACGAAAAGCTTTGTTAGAAGATATTCTGCGAGGCATATTTTATTCAATAATTTGCTCATCTAGAAAGCCTAAGATGTATCAAGACCACAAAAAACTATTTTGGTGGTCGAGTGTGAAGTCTGATGTAGTTGAGTTTGACCTTTTAAATATTTAAGGTTGAACATTAGAGACATAGTGATTTGTTGCAGCCCTTCTTATTGCAGAATGAAAGTGAGAGGAGATTTCTATGAATTTCTTTGTTGTCTTGCCAAGATTAAATCAAGGACTGATGTTATTTGGGTTGTGGTTGATTAATACATTAAGTCTTCTCATTTTCTTCCAATTAAGCAGAATTATTCGGTAGAAAAATGAATCAAGCTCTATAGAAACCAAAATGTTTGACTGCATTAGATACCAACCTTCTTTGTATCTAATTAACATGGAATATATTTTTATAGGCTATGGAAGCAGGTACACAAATATTTGGGTATGAGATTAGAGTTCAGTAATGCTTTTCATCTTAGAAAGATTGGTCGTTAAAGTGCATTATTCACACAATAGAAGAAATGATTAGAGTGCTTGCATTCTAGACTTTAGAGGCATCTAGGAACATTATATTCTATTAGTGGAGTTCATTTATAGCAACAACTATTAGGTTAGCATCAACATGACACCAAACGAAGTTGTTAATGATAGAAAATGCAATTCCTCTTCATGTTGGTTTGAGGTTAGTGAAAAGTGAATATACATATCTTAGTAAGTTGATCAAGCCACAGAGAATGTTTGTTAGGAATCATCATAAAAAACATTTTGACATCAAGTACAGAGAGATTGAATTCAATGACAAGGATCATGATTTTCTGAAAGTTTCACATATGCGTAGGGTTATATGATTTGGTTAGAGTGTAAAGCTTCAACCTTGCATTATTGGTCCTTTTGAGGTGATTGAAAGAGTTTGGTGAGGTCTTCCTCTCTTCCCTCCTATTCCATTATATCACAGGATCTGGCCCGAAGTCTTCATTAAAGAATATCCCAAATGACTAGTAAATTAATGAGACCCAAAAGTAGATCCTACACCGATTCTTCACTCCCTTTAGTTTAAAATATACTTGATTTTAATATTTAAAATTTTTGTGTTGAGTCAATTGAATTTGAGTTATTAGAATCAATGTTGAGTGCTCAAATATGTCTCAAACATGTTTTTAACTGACCCATTGAGCTTAGAAACTTGAGCGTGTGATTTAAGTGCCTTTTAACCCTATAACCCACTCAAGCAGGCTTAGCATTTCTTCTTATAACTCATGGTGTTGGTTCATGCCGAACTCGAACATGTTTTGCGTTCATCTCAAATCATGGTTGAATTTAAATTGAAATAAAGATGAAAGAAATTACTTGATTGAAATAAAAATTAGGTTGTTTGAAATTAAACAGATAAATCGAAATCATGAAATTTTAAATTCAAACGAAAATCTATAAGGAAAATCACATTTAAATTAAAAAAAAAAATCAAAAATCAAATCATGTAATCTTAACTAAACCTCCAACTAAGCACTAACAAAATTAAATTTCAATAACAAAAAATTAAGTTTTGAAAAACCTAAATAAATCATTGATTAAAAATTTAAATAAATTTAATAAATATAAATAAAGAGTTAATTAAATTCAAATAAAATTAAAATAATAGATAAAATAAACTTGAAATACGATTAATCCAAATTTAAAAATAACTTGAAATTAAAAAATAAAAGGAACATAAATCAATAAGTATAAATTTAAAATAAAATTAAGACAAATGAATTACAAAATTGATTTAAAATTTTAAATTCAAACTAAAATTA